AATTGAGGTCATTTCAGTCGTTAAGGCAGGAATTTAACCTTCCCAGTAATGATTTTTATAAATTTCTTCAATTACGGCACTTTTTAGAGTCACACTTAAAAGAAGGCAACATACGATTTGATTTTACTGAAATGGAAAAGCAGCTTTTCTCTTCATTTACACTTAAGAAGATGATCTCGGAGTTATATACATGGCTGTCTAATGTTTGTTCTTAGGTTCAAATTTTAGTGACGAGCAGTGGTTATCTGTTTGTACATGTGTTTTCCCTAAAGGTGTTTCAATTTCGGCCCACGAACAAAATTATACATTTATTCACAGGACTTCTCTAACTCCAGTTTGCCTTTATAAAATGTTCCCCAATTCTTCTCAATTATGTTTCAAATGCAGGGCAGACACTGGTACGGTCATGCACTGTGATCAAATTAAAGGTTACTGGAAGGAGATCCACAAAATTATTCAAAAGATTACTGGACAGATGTTTGATTGTCTCCAAATGTATATCTTCTGAACTGTAAAGCTGGTCTGTGTCTTGATGGTGACAAAGAAAATGTAATGAATTTGTGTTTATATTTAGCGAGAAAATGTATATTATTACCATGGTCAACTCCTCAGATACCCTCAGTCAATATGTGGACGAGTCAAGCCGCTACTCTTCTACCTCTAGAGAAACTTTTTTTTGGTCTATAAAATGTCTGTTTTATATTTACTCCGATATGCCCTGTTGTATTAACTATTATTTCTATTTTTGTTTCATTTCATATGCATATGTATGAACATGTATATCCAAAGATTGTAAGATAATATTTGGCTGTACGAGCTGTTATGAGATACCGGTAACACTGTTGTGTTATTGTAAAACATAAAAAAAGTAAAAAATTAAAGTATATATTATACATATACTAATTGAATTTTTCCACCATATTAGACCTTTATTAACAAATGCAATGCAAATCCATCTTTTCGAAAGCAAAGCCTGTTCAGAAGCTAATCAGATCTACCAAGACAATGTTCATTACAACGTCTTCCGTTCCTTCACAATAATAAAGCTGTAACCGCATGAAGGGACCTTACATGGTAGAGTGGCGTGCAATATAAGACTCTCAATTACTTTACTTATTAGGACATGCAGGCTTGGCAAATCATATTAGACAGCAAAAACAGACGACCAATCGCATGGAAAAAGCAACTTTGAGGATGTTTGAGTATGAAGAAACAAATACTCAGTTTGCTCTAATTGTGTTAGCCATGCCTGTAATTGACAGGACAGCCCGGAGTTACACCTGACAGTCACCTTGACAAAGCAATGTCACATTCTCATCACATGACTACACCAAGTTCATGTGTTATTTCAACAGATGTGACTGTCAATGCATAAAGTCAAAATCTATCTTCTCCACCAGTAGAGAAACGTCAATACATAGGCTACACTTGACCTAGTCAATAGGACTTCAAACACCATAATCAATAAGTTCAAAAGCAAATTGTCTGACAAGGTCACTAAATGGTTTCTGGAGAGGATTGCTCAGTGGGGTGCATTTATAAAATCAGAAAAACCTGGGTAAAATGAATCAGAGGCTAAGAAATTGGACAGAAATCAGCCTTTAAACAAATCCTTTTTTTTTAAATCGTGAATCATTTGATTTGTACCACTAATATAAGATGAAATTTATTGAGATTTGGTACATTAACAAACATTTTTAATGTTTTTAAAAGAAGTTTCTGTAACATTTTACAATGAGGTAATATTTGTTAACATTAGTTAATGTATTAACTAACATGAACTAACAATGAGCAATACATTTGTTACAGTATTAATAAATGTATGCTCACCAGGGCTGCATTTACAGTAAAAATACAATAAAATCAGTAATATTGTGAAAAATTATTACAATTTAAAATGACTTTTTTTCTATTTTATAATATTTCAAAATGTAATTTATTCCTGTGATGGTAAAGCTGTATTTTCAGCATCATTACTCCAGTCTTCAGTGTCACATGATCCTTCAGAAATCATTATAATATGATGATTTGCTGCTCAAGAAAAATTTCTTATTATTATCAATGCTTTTTAAAAAAAAGCAGGATTCTTGAATGAACCGAAACAGCATTTATTTGAAATAGAAATCTTTTGTAAAATTATAAATGTCTTTACTCTCAGTACTAATCAATTTAATGCATTCTTGTACAAAACATATTAATTTGCTTGTCACACTTTAGATTAATCCCATTCTCACTATTAACTAACTATTAACTAAGACTTCTGCCTCAAACTCCTAATTACGGCTTATTAATAGTTAGTAAGGTAGTTGTTAAGTTTAGGTAGTGGGTACGATTAAGGGATGTAGAATATGGTTATGCAGATTAAGGCATTAACATGTGCTTTATAAGCACTAATAAACAGCCAATATCCTAGTAATATGCATTCTAATAAGCATCTAGTTAATAGTGAGAATTGGACCCTAAACTGAAGTGTGACCCATTTCCTTTATTTATTTGCATATGAGAAATATCAATATAAAAATATAAAATAAGTATATAAAATATAGAAATATCAAATAAGTAGTATGATTTTTCCCTGCCAAAAATTATTTTAAGAATCCTGTACAGAATCAAATCACTAATTAAATCAAAAAAAAAAAAATTTGTAACTCATAATGAATTGTTCTGAATTCACACAAATTTAATCGCAAAACCTACAGTATGAACAGTGAATGAAATCGATTTTCTGTCTACCGAAATATTCACCCCTAGTTAATTTACATGGCAACATCCCACAATAACATTTCCACTTTCTTTATTGCTCTTTAAAATTTCATTTTCAAAATATAGTATCAATGAATATTGTCACAGCCCTCACGGCTGTGCACTTAACTCAAAAGTGACCACATCGCTGGCATACTAATAACAAATTCAGTCAGTGATCACAGAGTCTCATGGTTGCGTGCATTTGATTGACACCACCGATGGTATGCGTGATCACACAAGGCCCTGAGAGCGGCAACACACTAACACTAACATGAATCTATTATGACCAGCTGACTGGCAGCACTGGACACTTCCACAGCCTGGCTTTGTTCTCTGCAGTGTTTGTGATGGCGGATCTAACCCTTTAATAATGTCTACATTTGCAACTAAGACACAGACAGAGATTGTCATGCATGAATTAGTGCACATTACCATCAAGCAGTGTCTGCATATACAATATACTGTTAACGTCTGGTTGTCGTAACTCTTATGTAGGATCATAAACTGAGAATGTGCCGCAAAAACAGCTAGACAGGAGTGAGCATTACGCTTCTGTTAGAATGCTAAGGTATTGCCACTCACCCGGGCATGGGGCCGTTCTTGGCCAGGTTGTAGACTTGACGGGGGTTCAGGAGGTACTGGAACATTCGGAAGATCCTAGATAGGACAGAAGTCATGAACAAATCAATGACTAGGAAAAATTACATTAAATGTCAATAAAATTACTTTTGTTTTAAAGTCACCATGCAATCAAAATGGACAATTCTTATTTATTTATTTTTATTGCCGTATTTATTATAAATGTTTTATCTGTGCACATCATTATTATTATTTTTAATTAATGTGCCCTCATAATCTTAAATCAAAAATAACTCCCCTCCCTCTTGAAATGACATCTCTTCTCTTCTCTGATGACGTGTTTACTAGACCAATAGCAAACCACAACCATCCAACCATCCAATCAATTCCCGATGGACAAAATTATGTCCCGCCCTACATTTTTTCTTGTTTGAGAAGCTGTTTCACTCAGATTTACATCACAATAGGGAAGAAAAGACTATCGCAACTTACATTTTGTCCCGACTTTAACATTTTGGTGAAGTTGATCTTCTATAAACTGGTCCCACACTATAAAAAATGCTTGTAATTTTTACAGAAAAACTGTAATATTGCTACAGTAAAACCTGTTAATTGGTTAACTGCAAGTTGCCTTGAAGTACAGTTTATGGCAAAAAAAAATCGTTTAACATTACATTATATGTAACTAATTTGACAAATTTATGGTATTTGGAATTAAAACTATGAATTACTGTATAATTTACGGCAAAAAAAAAACAATTAAACATTCCCAGGACAAGACCCTGTGACATCAAATATGACTATTTTATTAAAATAGTTTAGTTTCTACTTATTTTTGTTATCACTAAAGTACATTAGGGTGTTTTTGATACAGTACACGTACAGTTATTTAGTTCATGAACCGTTATGTTGCTTTTATTATACCACCTGTATTAGTACGGTACGGTGGTTATCAGTACGGTGCAGATAAAAAGCAGATGTTGGTAAGTTTAATTAGACTGGTACCGTATTAACATTATATAACTTATTGAAAATGCACTGTTTTAAGTTGTAAAATATACATCCACCAATATGCTATTCTATAATATCAAAAACATTTTCACTGTATTTTTTACTGTGAATTTCTGGCAACCACCGCTGGCACTTTTTTACTGTAAATTTAACAGGATATTTTTACAGTGAATTTTCAAAATCAGAAAATCCATCATGCTCATTTTGACAGAGGCTCCCAATTTGGAGTCAAACTAACTGCTAGTGACCGATTAATTATACAGATTGACTCTATTGTCTAAATTAGAACAGTAAATTAGAATTAGACAGTTGAAATGCTATATGACAATACTGAGGCGTCAATTTCTTAAATGTGACACAATCTTTCACAGTTCTTACCTTTCACCTTGTTTGCCTCCACTTTTAGGGTTGACGAAAACCAACAGTGGATGAGTTCCTTGTGATGACGTAATCTACAGAATAAAGTGATGAAAATAATTATTACATATCCTAATTTAGATTTTAAGTGGATTTAGCTTTTAAATCAGCTGTTGTCAATACCATGTGCACCATTATCAACATTAATTATAAACATGTCTTTTCTACAAAACGTTTGCTTAACAAATCTTGCCTAATTTCTCTCATTCAGCATTAAACCTGCAATTTTTAGTGAGCAATTTGATAATTCTCTCTCTCTTTTTTCATAATTATAAAAAGAGACCTACTACATAAAGTATAACATAAATGTTGTTGAGCTCAGAATAACTCTTTTTTTTACAAAAAGTCTTAAAATGTCCCAGCCGTGAAAACCCACGTCATAAGACGCATCTAGCAAACCTCAGTAATCAGCTCCATATTTAGTCATTAATGACAGTCTTTGACCATGAGTCACTTTTCTGCATGGATTGCATGATGATTGTGGGGTTTTGGAGCGGACGATGCACGCACAAACTAATCCAGAGAGTGTGAGTCGTCTTCCGGTGGACAGTGACTCAGATGAAGCGCTTAAAACAGAACCCATCGAAACAATCCCAGCAGGCCCAGGTGAATTAATGAGCCGCCCGTCCGGCGACGAGTGATCCATTACTTCCTCTAATTATAAATAATAATCCTGATTATTACACTGGTTAGCCGCCGCCAGCCAAGATGGATGGCCCAGGACATGATTCGTCTTTTTTCGTCCTGTCATTACTATGCTCAGACAACGCCCAGTCACAGTGGGTCACTGCAGCCTAACTGTTGCCTCAACCAAGTTAAGATCTAAGAATGCAAACTAGCTTGCACAAAGTGGGATTTTGAGATAAATTGTCATTTTGGCCGAAACTTATAATAGTTGATGATTCTTCACTAGGAAGTTCATCATTAACATTATGGGTCACCCTTTATATTAAAGGTTCTCTAAGCGATCCTGGGTGACGTCACTTCTTGTTGACGTTCGAACTATTGTCAAACAAAACGGAGGCTAGCTAGACCCTCCCTCCTCCTCATCCGCACACTAACCCCCCAAACCACACCCCCAAACCCTTCTTGTCGGTGATTGGCTAGAACAGTTTGTTATGTTTCGTGGAGCGGGTCGCTGCAGTTTGTTTTTGTTGCTGTGTGTGGAGCCAGGGCTGTCTACAGAGATCGCGTTTCTTTACAGTGTGTTCAGGGGACAGGCAGCCAGCGGATAGTGAGAAGATGTTTGCTGTATGTGACAAAAAATGTTTTGGCCTAAAAAACGCGTGACATCGCTTAGAGCACCTTTAAGTGTCTTCAACTACAGTACTGAGTATTTATGTTAAAAAAACAATTATTGTTAGGTACAATGTACTTATTGTGTTCATATTGTATTGCAAAACACTTTTGCTGCTATTGAGGTGGGATATGGGTATAGTTAGGCACAGGTTTGGTGGCATGGGTAGGTTTAAGGGTAAGGAACAAGCCAACCGTGTAATTATAGATGAACTGCAGAAATTAATTACAGCAAGTAAATGCTAAGGTAAATGCTAAGCAGGTAAAGGTGATTTCTTGCAGGTATTTTATTTTTATAAAAGTACAATGAAAAACATACATAAGTGCACTGAGTGATTTAAATGTTAGTACATACTTAAAGACATCCAATATAAACTGGGTCCACATTACTTTAATGGACCTTTTTTATTTGTATACATATATCTTAGTTTCATTAGGGATGAATAATGCACAATATGTCATATATCTGTGGCATATCAGTTATTAAATTATTTTTTTTAAATGTACTTGATATGTAATACATGTAATCCTTAGCCAATCTCAAAATGAATATCCATTATGGGAAAACACCTTATATTGTGTATTATAATGTTTTGATGCATAAATTCATTGGAAACGAATGCTTTTAGTTGTTACCTGTTTTACTGTTTATTTATTTAGAGAAAACAGCAAACTATCTGAATATCAGCAATTTATCCAGTAGGATAGCAGCCATATCAAATAATTAAAAATAATTAATAATACATAAAAAAAATACATAAAATATTTAAATGTAAGCGCATCCTTAGTTAACGTAATTTTAATTGCCTTTTTGTCTTCACTTTAATATTCAATAATGTCCCTAATTAATATGAGATCTTATAAGATGCATGCATAATAATTATAAAATAAATAGCTAAATAAAATGTTTTAGATGGATGTTACCTCAGGACATGTCAACTTCCCAGACAACCACAGTTTAACTTCAGTCTTGTTTGATATAATCTGCAGGAAATGGACATCCTGCTTTTAGTAACATCGAACTCTACAGTGTGTGTGAAAGTGTGTCATTCACCTGTAGCCCCTGTCCATCCACTGACACAGAATTGGTCCTTTGTATTTCCCCCCGGCCTCTTGATTGGCTGGAGTCTTTTCTCACAGTAGACTGTCTCTCCTGCAGTTAAAGGTCACATGTAAAGGTCTAAAAGGGCTGAGCTTTCTATAACCATCGATTTCAAAAATAACACAGGAAAAGAAATATGAGATATTACCAGTACTACAGGACATATAGTGTTTGGAGGAAGGATGTGATCTCTCAGTGGTCCGCAGTCACATTCGGGTTTGACGTGTGAAGCACACTTGTTGTGTAGCTGTAGAACATAACTTTAAAACACATCAGACAATTCAACAATATTATTTTATGTACAGACTTATGTTACTGAACAGGCCTAAATGTTGAATTTATCAAATAAGTATGTCTACTACTACTATTAAATTGTGTGCAAGTTTCACAAAAATAACTTTAATAATTGGATAACATGCCTTTAAACATGCCCCAAACATAAAAACTGTAATAATTATTTGTAATGAGAAAGAAAGTGATAAACTCACAGTAATCTGGCACCAGACATAATGAAGACCCGTAAGACCCTGGTAACACTTGATGGTTTTGTGACACTTATCACACTTGCTTGGACAGTTTCCCTCAAGCCAGAAATGATGCATAATCTATTCAAAAACACATTCTGTTTTATATATATATATATATATATATATATATATATATATACACACAGCATAAAGAAAGGAAGAAAGAAAATACAGACAAAGGAGTATGCGTTTTGATTAAGACTCATCATTGGTGTATTTGGGTCTCTTTTTAAACCAGGTTAATCATGTAATTAGCAATGCTTAGAGAGAGAATTTCTTTCTAATTTCATTAGCTGAAAAGAAGCCCTTGGTCTAAGCTCCGTGGAACATTGGTGATCCAAGCGTGCTGGTTTTTAAACACTACAATTCGACGCACCTCTGTGTTTTTCTTGGATTTGACGTTTGTTTTGATGCAGGACGGGGGGGCTCGAGCCACACATCTCTCGTGAACGGTGCACTTACAGACTATGAACCAGACAGACAGAAAATTAATTCACAAAGTAATGTAGAAATGTTTGGATGATTTGTTACTGGTTCCTAGTCTATCAATTTCTATAATTTGAAATATTTTAATGTGTATTTTAATTATATTTTAATATTTATATTAAATAATAATTGCTTATTTAATATCAAATATATTTTTATAGTTATTTATTTAAATAATATCTACTTCACCGAAGTACGAAAATATTTATTTTTTAAAAGTATAGAAATTAAAGTATATATATATATATAGTAAATTAAATATTATCTCACAACCATCTTAAAATATTTGATTGCATTTGTTTAAAGATGAGATATTTAATACACCAAGTTATTTATATTCCAAATGAAAGTAATCACATGATTTTTTACTTGTATTTGTCAATTTGTACTCATCGAATAAGGCAAAAAATAAAAAAATAACAGAATCATCTAGTGATCAATGTAATAAATGTTGTGAACTAACAGGAACAGCACAGGCCTTCCTTCCCCAATCCAATCAACATATTCAGACACAGGTTACAATATGCAGGTTTACTGAAGTGCTTCAGTCTCCACACATGCTGCCCGTCATCCTTTACATTCTGCTAGAGAGAGAGAGAATGAGAAAGACAAAGATGACAGTGAGAGAATGAGAATAAGACATCAATGAGGACTTGACAATGACAATACAACTGTAATAAAAAACATTACAACATTCACATGAAGGCGATTCTGGAATCCTACTGGGATAGGTCTTGAAAAGTGTCAAATATGCATCGTTAACAATTTGGAGGTCATGCCAAATATATCAGACACCAGACCACTAATGCAGCTGTCAAGGCATTTCAAATGAGTGGAGGACTCCATCTAGTGGGTAAGGAGAGTGTAACGTCAATTTACCAACTGATGAATCTGTTCTTCTGGCTTAGATGAATGGATAGATGGAGAGACAGGTGGACTGGATGGATGGTGGGTAGTTGGACAAACACATATACATTTTTAAAACTGAACTGGTAATCACATTTTCGAGTCCCAGCAGCACTAGCAGAGGAATGGTGGTCAAGCCCCCCTGGACCCACTCTTCAAGAGAAACCATCCCAGTGTCAATCTCCTGCATCAATTCCTTCAGAATCTACACCCCACAAACACCAAAAGAAAGGTAATAATCAGAAAACATGGTCAAATTCTGAACAAGATCAAATTCTATTTAATCTTACTGGCTTCAGTTCTGTTACGTCACTCCAGATACTCTGCAACATGCATCATCTGAGAGATAATGTGCTCTAGTTCCTGTTCAAGAGGAGCAAACTTTCTGCATTACATCACTGCAACTCTACACAAAGATCAAGGCCGGCATTCGAAATCCCATTAACTTAAATGATTTCTTTGTGCCTGATAAAAAAATTGGGGTTGAGGTAACGCATTACAAGTAACGCAAGCTACGTAATCAGATTACTTTTTTGAAGTATCAAATATCTGAGTTACTTCGACAAATAAGTAACGTAAGTTACTTTGTTTTCCCATTTATTGACTGAGAAATCAAGAGTAAGTGCAGAGGCATTGTGTGCACTGTCTAAACATGATGGTTATTGTAGTTCTAGATTAAATGTGAACAAGCATTTACTCATCTCAGTTGAGTAAAATGTTTGTTTCTTTTTAAAAATATATCTTATATATTTGTTAAAAAGTAAATCTTCTACTAGCATGTTGTTCTGTCCTAGCTAGTACACTGTAAAACAATTATATGATCAATAAGTTATAACAGCATATGATTAAAAAAAAAAATTCAAGTCAGTTTAATGTAATTTAGGTTGAAATGACAACCATCCAAGTTGATAGTACTTAAATATTTAAAGCTGCAGTCCGTATCTTTTCCTCTTTGTCGCCATCTCTCTGTTCGAAATCTGTAACTGCAGTGATTCGCGGAATTATCATCTTTACGTGGGTTGTAAATCGGCATGAAACAGCGCTGATGAACACAGTGCTTTGAGGCGAGTGCTGCTGTCACTCACCGCGCTGTGTGGATACTGTCATACAGAATCACAGATTCACTTTTTGAAAGTTTGACCAACATAAGAATTTTCATAAGAAAATGTCTTCTGAACAAGTAAGTAAAATCCATTTTTGTTCTGACCAACTAAGGGGGAAAAAGCATTCGACATAAGCTTCGTTAGATTTAATCAACGCGATTTACAGCAACCGTGCAAAGTATAGCCTACTTTGTTCTCAAATTGTTCATGTTAACAACATCACATCAGCATTGCGTGACTAATGTTAAATTTAATGTGTTTTATGGTTACCTTTGCAGTTCAGAATTCATATTCTCCATAAAAGCAAAACGAGAAAGGCACAACAAAGGAAACTCCATAACTGTGTGAATTAAGAAAACGTACTGTTACACGATTGAACTATTGAAATGTCTTAACTTACTTGTTCAGCAGAAAAAAGCCGTCTCTTCTTCCGTTTTGAACCCCTTCAAAACACGGAGTTCACGCACTTTTCAAAAGCCCCGCCGATGTTTAAATCCTTGTGTTCGCATGAGACGGTTTCTTTCTCTTTCTCTAGCCACCTTAAATCCGAAGTACGAAGTCTTTTGGGTTTTATAACTGCTGAATCTCCAGTTGACACTGATGATTGTTGTTTAGATCTTTCTGGATGCCATAAGTTTAATTATGTAAAGTGCTGCGAGAAAAGCCTATACATCTAAACATCTCGTCACGCGCAGTATAGCCGGCTAGCCGAAACTCCTTCTTTATGTGTACGGGTGTGACGGTATGACACAGAGACATGCTCGAATTTCCCGCGGAAACCCACCAGTACCACTGGAATTAAAATCATTATTACAAGCTAACCGTTTTGAATCTAGCTATGGCAAGCAGATAGTTTTGACCACTGGCAGAATAAGTTTTTTTTAATATAATTATTTTGGATTATTTTTAACTTAAAAAAGTTACGGACTGGAGCTTTAAGGCAGCTACTCTTTTTATAGTGCAATGGGCTTTATTAGCTTAAACCATCCAACCTGTTAAGGTCCACCTTGTTACACACTGCTTCGTAAAAAAGTCATGTAACAGGGTGGAAAGACTCCATAGAATATAGTATATAGCATGAAAGTATGTGATTTTGGATGCAGCCTCAGTGTAGGGACGCTTAATCCTGCACCACGAGATCTACCTTTTTACAAAAAAAATGTTTTACCTCCAACTTAATCAAACACATCTGACACAGGTAATCAATGTCTTTGAGTTCATTCAAAAATTACAGAGCCTAGGGTAAGGAGCAAAACTGAGCATCCATCATTTAGTGTATGAAAACAATTCAGCGTTAAACCACTAGATGGCGTATTCAGGGGTTTAAAAGACACGTAATATTCAATAATACTGCATTCTTGATCTGACTGCACTGATACTGTTGGATGAGAATAAAACTTGAACTGAATTGAGTAGCTGAATCGACTGCTTCATAATAGACAATTTTTGCAACATCAAACTGTAACTGAATTGAATCAACACTGAACTGACTCGAGCTGAACACTGACACTATTGTCTTCTATAGAATTATAATTTAGCTCATATTTAAAGAAGTTTGCATCACTGATTGTTATTTTCCTGTTTATTACTGTGAAGCTGCTTTGAAACAATCTGTATTGTATAAAGTGCTGTATTAAGAGGGCTTGACTTGACTTAACGGCAATAAACTGGAGGGACTGCTTACTGTCTAAAAACCCGTTCCCATCAGTGTCATAAAGCCGAAACATAACTGTGACAGAAACAAAGAGAGACTGAGAGAGGTTGAAAGAGAAAACACTGCAGTTTTACAAGGATAATTTATGCATCTGATAGGAGCACTGTTTAAATAGCTAATTCTATATCCTTCAAAATAGGATAAAAAAAGGATATCTATGAAATGAACCTCACAATACAGAGTGCAATCTAAGCTTTTATATGAGGCATCATAAAGTGAGTGTTACCATGGAAACCAGCAGCTCAGCCAATAGCAAAATCTCTCAAGAAGTCAATTTAATCAGGTTTAGCACAATTTAAACTAGACTAGCACGTCACAGACATCCTTTATGCAAACCGATTGTTCTTTCTTTCATAATAATGACTCAGAGGTGCTATCAGCCAGAGGTTATTAGAATCTGAGCATTTCAGCAGTTTAACCTTGTCTGTCTGCCCATAGCAACAGGTTTCTATGGAAGTAAAATAATGTCAAATGTTTTTGAAATAAAAAGCCTGTTGAATTGCACTACTTGAAAAAAATAGGCATTGCATTAACCATGCTTGCATTTTTATGCATTGTATTTTTAGGGCTTGCATTTATATGGGCTGAAATTTAGCATGGTTGAATATTTAAGCTGTGAATATTTCAAACACATTTTCATTATTAAAAATTCAATAATCCATATTCACCATTCATATTTCATTTCCAAAATATTCAAACTGTTTAGAAATACAACCAATAATATTCAACTGGCAATTTTCGGTCCATTTTATTATGCTATGCAAATTCGCTTCCACAAATTCAGTGGTTCAAATTCGACAGTAAATTCAACAATGACGTCCAGGAACTGCAGGAAAAGCAGAAGATTGCCGAGCATAATCTCCATCTGCTGTTAGTCGACATCACCAGCAGGGGGTGCAAAAGCGCTTGTTGTTGACGAAGACATTCATTCATAAAATGGAAATGATTATCTGTGACAGTATATGCGGAAAAGATGATAAACACACAAAAGCTGTGTTTATGTTTCATTCAATAACTTCATTGTTACTTTCCCTGTGTATTCTACAAGTCATCAGCTTTCTCTACCATGAACAGGATTATAATCGGTTTCCCTCAATACCTCATACTCAAGGATTCCCTTTCCGTTGGGAAAAAACGCTTAACACACATACAGTGATATGAAAGACCAATCTTGCACCTTATTGGGGATGTAGGCTGTAGGCTACTATATAGGCTACAGGCAAGAAGATGGACTCAGATAATAAACTTTACGCGCAAAGTTTCATGCTGAGCGTTTCGTGATATACTGGCATAAAATCAACACTTGATCAATTAATACTAACACTTTCTATTCTATTCTCTCTCTCTCTCTCTTTCTCTCTCTCTCTCTCTCTCTCTCTCTCTCTCTCTCTCTCTATATATATATATATATATATATATATATATATATATACACTCACCGGCCACTTTATTAGGTACACCTGTCCAACTGCTCGTTAACACTTAATTTCTAAGCAGCCAATCACATGGCGGCAACTCAGTGCATTTAGGCATGTAGACATGGTCAAGACAATCTCATGCAGTTCAAACCGAGCATCAGTATGGGGAAGAAAGTTGATTTGAGTGACTTTGAACGTGGCATGATTGTTGGTGCCAGAAGGGCTGGTCTGAGTATTTCAGAAACTGCTAATCTACTGGGATTTTCACGCACAACCATCTCTAGGGTTTACAGAGAATGGTCCGAAAAAGAAAAAACATCCAGTGAGCGGCAGTTCTGTGGGCGGAAATGCCTTGTTGATGCCAGAGGTCAGAGGAGAATGGCCAGACTGGTTCGAGCTGATAGAAGGGCAACAGTGACTGAAATAACCACTCGTTACAACCGAGGTATGCAGCAAAGCATTTGTGAAGCCACAACACGCACAACCTTGAGGCGGATGGGCTACAACAGCAGAAGACTCCACCGGGTACCACTCATCTCCACTACAAATAGGAAAAAGAGGCTACAATTTGCAAGAGCTCACCAAAATTGAACAGTTGAAGACTGGAAAAATGTTGCCTGGTCTGATGAGTCTCGATTTCTGTTGAGACATTCAGATGTTAGAGTCAGAATTTGGCGTAAACAGAATGAGAACATGGATCCATCATGCCTTGTTACCACTGTGCAGGCTGGTGGTGGTGGTGTAATGGTGTGGGGGATGTTTTCCTGGCACACTTTAGGCCCCTTAGTGCCAATTGGGCATCGTTTAAATGCCACGGCCTACCTGAGCATTGTTTCTGACCATGTCCATCCCTTTATGGCCACCATGTACCCATCCTCTGATGGCTACTTCCACCATGTCACAAAGCTCTAATCATTTCAAATTGGTTTCTTGAACATGACAATGAGTTCACTGTACTAAAATGGCCTCCACAGTCACCAGATCTCAACCCAATAGAGCATCTTTGGGATGTGGTGGAACGGGAGATTCGCATCATGGATGTGCAGCCGACAAATCTGCGGCAACTGTGTGATGCCATCATGTCAATATGGACCAAACTCCCTGAGGAATGCTTCCAGCACCTTGTTGAATCTATGCCACGAAGAATTGAGGCAGTTCTGAAGGCAAAAGGGGGTCCAACCCGTTACTAGCATGGGGTGCCTAATAAAGTGGCCGGTGAGTGTATATATATATATAAAGTCCTAAAATGCCTACGTGTATTGCATTAGCTTAAACTGGGATCATAGCACTTGCATATTGTTGTCCTCCTATTGTTAGTTTAACTGTAATCGCTTTGGATAAAAGCGTCTGCTAAATGACTAAATGTAAAATTGGCTTGACATTGGACATTCGCACATTTAGGGACCGTCTCTAAAGTTGCATACAACATTGGCAAGTACGTTTCTAACAATCGCAAACTTAAATTTATTTGAATAAATATCAAAAAACCAAAGGGTGCGCATTATGCCTGACACTACATGAACACTTACAGTTGGTTTTATGACTGTAAGTCGTTCTATTCAAATGCTATTGAAGTTAGAAACGTGTACACCAAAGTCGTATACACTTTAGAGACGGTCCCTAAATGTGCGAATGTCCAACATCAAGCCAACTTAATGCCAGTCTATCACTGGGAAACGCTTAGCTGTGCGCGTTATTCTGAGTCCTTCTGCTTGCCTGTGAGTTTGGACTTTTACATCACTAGTCCATTAAGCTACGTTAAGCGTATATGTCCAGCAGGGGAATCCTGAACTATTGAGCGAAACCCTAATAGCCTGCATGCAGCACATCGCCACAATATAAAGTTAAGGCAACTAAACAACCAAGAGAAATATATGTCAACCTCAAAAATGTAACATTGGATCTGTATATCCGCATCGGGGAATAAAATTATTATCTGGTTCACGGTAGAGAAATATGCATGTAGGCTACACAGGAAAAGTAACCGTGAAGGCACCGAATTTAACAAAAACAGCCGTCATAATAATCACACAAATAAACTTACATTGCTGTAAATGAGTTTTATGAATGAATGACTTGCTCTAATTTTGCTGGTCTTCGTCAACAACAAGCGCTTTTGCACCCCCTGCTGGTGAGGTCGACTAACAGCAGATGGAGATTATGCTCGGCAATCTTCTGCTTTTCCTGCAGTTCCTGGACGTCAATGTTGAATTTACTGTCGAATTTGAACCACTGAATTTGTGGAAGCGAATTTGCAAAGCGAAATAAAATGGACCGAAAATTGCCTGTTGAATATTATTGGTTGTATTTTTAAACAGTTTGAATATTTTGGAAATGAAATATGAATGGTGAATATGGATTATTGAATTTTTAATAATGAAAATGTGTTTGAAATGTTTTTAATTGAAATATTCACAGCTTAAATATTCAACCATGTTGAATTTCAGCCCATAAAAATGCAAGCCCTAAAAATACAATGCATAAAAATGCAAGCATGGTTAATGCAATGCCTATTTTTTTTCCAAGTAGTGCAATTGAACAGGCTTTTTATTTCAAAAACATTTGAAATTATTTTACTTCCATAGGTTTCTGAACTAGCAGCCTAGAATTACAATTACAAAAGCTTCCAGTAGATGGCAGCACAGCCTCATGTTTTCTCCATTTTGGAAACCAGTTGGCAACCAATTACAGAACCAAATGGAAACCCAACACAATATAAAGAGTGTGTTCCACATCACAAAGAACTTGCGAGTGTTTAAATAAACATGGAATGGAATAGTTATAGTAGGTGATCCTACATTCTAGTTTGTCTTCTGGTCGTCCGCCCTGGCTCCAGGAGAGAGAGGTAGCAAATCATATCCTTCAGCTGGATTGTGCCGAGAGGTTCGCCTTTGGTTGTCACCTTTGGCGGAGTGCAGTTTCCCTTTATCAGCTTTAGACTTTGTAAAGCACAATTTGAGTATGTTTAAAGCGCACTGTGTATTTGCTATGTTTTGGCAAGAACAGAAACTAGAAATCACTGGAATCTCCATTTTTGGTCTAACTGTTGTCCTGGAATATTGTTGCAGCTCTATTGCAAAGTTGTACAATTAAAACTGAACACAAGGAATAAACTAATAACATTAAATTATATAATATATTAAAATGGAAATTAATATTATGTAATTTATTCCTGTGATCAAAGCTGAATTTTCAGCATTACTTCAGCCTTCAGTGTCACATGATCCTTCAGAAATCACTCTAATATGATGATTTGCAGCTCAAACAATTATCATCAATGATGAAAACAGCTGTGCTGCTTAATAGAAAAGTTCAAAAGAACAGCACTTATTTGACATAGAAATCTTTTGTAACGGTACAAATGTCTTCACTGTCACTTCTGATCAATTTAATGCATTTTTTACACTGCTTTAACTCATCAAAATAAGCAATTTTCTACTTTTTTTCATTTGCTTTAACTTATCAAAATAAGTTAAGCATTTTTTAAAATAAGTTATACAAGATTCTTTTAATTTTTTTAAGTCGGTTTAATGTAATTAAGTTGAAATTACTTAAATATCCAAGTTGATATTTAAAAAGTCAATTTCCTGCTGAAGGTGATTTCCCCCGTTACTCGGTTAATACTTCATACTAACATAATAACTGCATTATCAGGCTGTAAAACTATAAAAAGACAAATGTCCTGATTGAAGATTTCTGGCTTCTACGCAGAACAAAATGACAAGCAAGAGGCATCTTCAGTAAATGGATGCCAAGCAATTATGGAAAGACAATGGTTTCATTACCCAATACAAACATCATATAGTTTAATGGTTCTAAAATCTGTTGAAATTAGATTATCATCATAACATTCGGTCGAGTACAGCATTCTTAGCTCAGCATGAACACTGCGATATAATGTGCTTCACAAGAGCATGAAGAGTTGCAATACCTCTTCAGGATTATACTTGGCCAGAATCCCATCTCCGTGAAACTCCTGGAGAGCATCTCTTAGTTTCTTCGTTGTGTCTAAGACAAAGGAGTAAAATAAGAGGAAGATAACAGTTAAGACAGCGTAAGGAAATTTAGCTCAAGACATTTAAGGGTCAATGATGTGTTGATGTACTGCTAAATTATGCCCCAAAAAAACTTTTTTATGATAAACATGTCTGATGTTTGAAGGAAGAAGATCTTTCGGCATTTTTTGGATATGGCAAGGTTACACTACCATTCAAAAGTTTGGGATCAATAAGATTCTTAATGTTTTTATTTTATGCTTCCCTTGCATTTATTTGATGAAAAAATACAGTAAAACTATTATATAAAATATATTAATGTATTAATAATTGTTTTATATTTTAAAATGTAACTCATTCCTGTGATGGTAAAGCTGTATTTCCAGCATCATTACTCCAGTCTTCAGTGTCACACGATCCTTCAGAAATCATTCTAATATACTGATTTGAAGAACAGTATACTGAATCCTACGTGTCGCAAAAATGTCTGTGACTTCTCTTATAAAACAGCATTTTTTCAGTGTAAACTATGAAAATAAATACAATCCAAAACTAATTTGTATTGCCAAACATGCGTAGTTTAGCCGATGCGCTGTCGATTCAATAAATAAGCCGTTTTCCCCAAAAAATGTATTCAGATTAGTGAAGCCTCTCCTCCATTGACATCCATTAAAATAAATGGCCTCTGGTCTCCTTACCTGCATTACTCTCGCCTTATCCTACATCTTGGATGGCATTAGGGTGAGTAAATTTATCAGGAAATTTTCATTTTGAGGTGAACTAATCCTTTATGGCTCCTAGAAGGCATTTCAGGGAGTTCAGAAACAGTGTTTACTGATATAAAGAAAAATGTAGTGGACCTTTTGTAACTTTTCAGACCCTTTTTATGTTCAAACAGCAACATTACACAATAAAGAAATTTGAAAATGTAAAAAAGCATAACTTTGAGGAGATCAGATCATCTCTATCCTTGAGTCTGATGATGGTAGAGCTCACAACTATCAAACCTAGCAGACATTCATTCAGCTGCAGAGAGATGTATCCCTCCTTCCTCTTCAATAATGGCCCATATTGTCGTACTGAACGCTAGCCAATCACAATGAGAGAAGCCCAGGCCTGGCACAGGAAACAGCGGGCTCTGGGGGCATCAATTATTTAGATTACTCAATTAAATGCAGAAGATCTCTGTTCTCTGCATACGTAATGAAAGATCTTCTCTTTGACAGTGAATTTGTTATGTATGAATGCAGGTTTTGGGGTAATTAAATGGCGCACATCTGTATCTTGATCTTTATGTGGTGGTTTATGTGGTGTGCAATAGATCCTTTATTATTGTTATGTCAAGCAGATTTTTGCTACTAAAACGGTCTAATAATAGTTGTGTCTCTTTATCTTAATGGTAAATATAATACATAATGGGTGGAAAAAAACTTGGACAGCAAACACTTACTAACTGTTTTTTACTAGCAAACATTTACTAACCGTTTCCTCCAAAAAGAGATTATAGATGACACTTCGGGCAGACAGACTGACTCCCACCACAGCATTAGCGCTCAAAGGAATCAATGTTCATCATAGATGGATTATTTATTTAGTGGAATTAATAACTGTCTGTCAGAATTTTCTCTCCCATCATAGTCTGGTACCGATTGGATTAGTCTGAAGACTTAACCTTAAGCTCCAGACAGGAAATGACATTTCCTTAAGTGACACATGCACAAATGGTGTTAAATGGTTCGATTTTTATTCCTGTGAACTGGCAACCTGTCAGTTTCTCTGCAAGGATATTTAGATGATTTAGAGGCTTTTTGGAGATACTGAAGAATAAACTGTGAATGATGAATTGAATTTAAACTACACTGTAAAAAATATTTGTGTCTTGTTTTTCAGTACAAATATCTAAACATTCTTAAACAATATACATTTTCTTGAGAAGAAAAATTACTTAAGATATTAAGTCTTATTTTCAGGAAAAGAAAAAATCAAAATTAAGTGAGTTTATGCTTAAAACAAGAAAAAATATCTGCCATTAGAGTCAGAAAAACAAACAATTTTTAAGAGAAAGCTAAATTATTTTCCAGACCCTATTGGCTGATAATTATTTATTGTTTGAAGTATAAATACCTTGAGTAAATGTCTTCTCAAGTAAATGTATCTTGATTAAAGCTGCAGTGCGTAGTTTTTCCTCTTTGTCGCCATCTCTGTTCGAAATCTGCAATTGCAGTTATTTGAGGAATTATCAACTTTACGTGGATTGTGCCTCGGCACGGCACAGCGCGGATGAATCCAATGTTTGAGGAGAGTGTGCAGCTGTCAGTCACCGCACTGGTGTGGATACTGTCATTCAGAATCACAGATTATACTTTTTGGAAGTATGACCAACATAAGAATTTTCACCGGAAAATGTCCTCTGAACAAGTAACATCCACTTTTGTTCTTCTGACCAATTAACTGAAAAAAGGTTAACAACATCAGCATTGCGTGACTACATTTAATGCCCTTCCGATATTTATCCTCGTTTTCGCATGGGCCCGGTTGCAGTCTCTTTTTCCAAACTCTCAAAAGAGTCTTTTGCATTTTACAACAGGTGAATCTCCAGTTGTCAGATTGTCGTTTGAACTTTTCTGGATCCGCCATCAAATTGAAAAGTTTAATTATATCAAGTGCTGTGAGAAAAGGCTATAAAACTCCACCTCCAGCATCCTCACACGCAATATAGCTTATACTAGCCGAGACTCTTCTTTATGTGTACAGATGTGTGTGTACAGATGTGACATAATGACGCAAAGACATGCTCGAATCTCCCGCGGTACCACTGGAATTAAAAACACTATTACAAGCTTACCGTTTTGAATCGAGTTAAGGCAAGCAGATAGTTTTGAAAACTGGCTGGTTATGTACTTGCTCAAATTTATTTTGGATAATTTTTAACCCAAAAAAGTTACGGACTGCAGCTTTAAAGAACTTTTTTTTAAATGTATGAAAACATTTAAAAAACTTTTTAAATAATTTAAAAACTCGCCCATCTCAAAAATGTAAATTTAACAAATGTTTAAGTTTAAGTAAACATAACTGAATTGAACTATAAATGACGCATTGATAAACAAATATTGGACAAATTTGGTCTAAACTAAACAACTGAAAAATAACAAAACAAAGGCCTTACAGTGTGCATAGTCTTGAAGAAGAGAGAATTCGTTCGGGCTCAAAGTGACGAACGTTTCTTCATTAGACATGCTGCCCAGTGTTCCTCTGCCTCGGTTTACATTCCAGAATAAGATCCACCAGCTCAGCCTCTGAGGAGAGAATGAGAAAACTGTCAGTCATCCTTGTGAATTTTACAAAACTGATCATTGCAGTTATGCAGTATGTCATATGTTCAGGGTTCGAAATGACTTATGACTCTTGGGGGGTCCCCTAAAATGTATGTAATTATAAAATGATCAAAAATTCTGAAGACTACCTTGCTACACTATGTAGCCTACTGTAGGCAAAATTATATGGACCAATGTCAGGGTTTTTCCTGGCTCAAAATGAGGCAGAGGTGGAAAATCATAACACTAGGGGGCTATGTGTTATGTGTCCAGGTGACACATGTGTCCAGGTGTTATGTGTCCAATCCAAGCCTGCTGTTCGCGCTCACCTTATCACAACTTATAGCTCGTTCACATTCTCACCAGCGCACTTGGATCGGCGTTCGTAGATCGACTGGTAAAGACTGTATTTCAAAGATGGCTTCTGCCTATATACGCGAAGTTGACTGTATGTTTAAAATATCTTCTTATTAAACTGTCTGGACACTGACAAAGTTCTCAAAGCTTCGGTTTGAAGGTAGGGACCCTCATTATGCTACCGTGTTAGTGTGGGGCTATTTTGAGCCTTGTTAGTGGTATTAACAAGCGATTTTTATTTGTCATTACACTATGCCCAATATACTAGCGTTATACTAGCTTTATAGGCTAAACTGTTTTTAGAGATAAAACTATTTACATTCGATAATCATGAAAACAAATCTCAGATAACGGTTGACTAGGTAACAATGTGTAATTACCAAAGGTTTATTTTGTGCCGGAGTTCTCCTTTAAATTGTCAATGTTTCATTTTTGAAAACACTCTTATCTGAATAATTTTTTGTACCTTTATAAAGGGCACTTTTCCCCTAATTTTATTTAATGTATGCTCTAAATTTCATTTCAAATTCTTACATTTTATTAATAGGCTACATTCAATTAAAGGTTCTCTAAGCGATCCTGGGTGACATCACTTCTTGTTGACGTTCGAACTATTGTCAACAAAACGGAGGCTAGCTAGACCCTCCCTCCTCCTCATCCGCACACTAACCCCCCAAACCCTTCTTGTATGTATGGCTGGAACAGTTTGTTATGTTTCGTGGAGCGGGTCGCCGCAGTTTGTTTTTGTTGCTGTTTGTGGAGCCTGGGCTGTCTACAGAGATCGCGTTTCTTTACAGTGTGTTCAGGGGACAGGCAGCCAGCGGATAGTGAGAAGATGTTTGCTGTATGTGACAAAAAATGTTTTGGCCTAAAAAACGCGTGACATCGCTTAGAGCACCTTTAAAATAATAAGACAGCCTAGCCTAGTGGCTGTTAACAATCAAATTAAATAATTTACATTGAAAAATTGTAAAACTGTATTAAATGAGATTATGAGATTGTTTTAAATATTTTTTTAATACAAATAAGGAATGTTGAAAAAAATGATACTTTGAAACTAAACCGCCAGTAGGAGGCAGCAGGCGGCCGTCTTAATGAGCGAGTCATTGAGTCATTCATTTAAACGATTCGTTCAAACGGCTGATTTATTCAGAATGAGGCGGTTTAATAATCGTTAATAATGGATAATTGAATCTTTGACTCGAGCGATTAGTTCAAAACGCTGAATTATTCAGTAATAAATCATGGGTGAGTGTTGCTCTGAGATGCGCTGTGGTTCTGTTGTTTGGAACTATTTTCGCTGCTGAAACAGAACAAAAACAGTCATTGCGTCTAAAAATGTAAGTAACTTAATTTTAACTATTTTAACTATTTGTTTATTGAACTGTTATGAAATCAATATCTCGGTTTCAATCGTGATGGCATTCAGGAAAACAGCACTCTGGTCATGTGTAGCCTATTGTTTCTTAACTATAAAATATGTTATAAATAACTGCTCGAGCCTCAACAGCGCAACTTTGTTACAGTCCGTACATTAGAGGGAGCACCACAAGAACAACTCACTCGGCTAATAGCTGCCCTGATTGCTGCCTCGCGCTAGGAAATAAATTAATTACTGTTATAAATATAAAATGTCACTAAAGACCTATAATTTTCACAATCATTTTTAATGTTAAAATATATTTGTCGGGGACCCCCCAAAATCCAAAAATAAATTCTTATGGGGGGTCCCTAATGACTTATGGAGGGTCCGGGACCCCCCCAGACCCCCCTCATTTCGAACCCTGCATACGTTACTCAACTCAAGCATATACCTTCAAGGTCAAATATTTTGTGTAATATAGTCTAGAATTATTTCTCATTTCACATGTATATCACAGTTTTTGTGATTCTGTGCTTGGTACCAGTCATTACAGAACAACAAGAATTGGTTATGTGTCACACCTGCCAACAACAAATAATCAAATAGCTATGCAACATCATGCCAGTCAATACTGAAGTCAAAGCTAGACTGGACCTCAGAGACTGGCACTGATTTGATGTAATGCTGTGTACTGTACAAGCATGACTGGGTCCCAACAGTATTAAAGTATGCAACTGTCTTTCATCCTCAACAAGGCTGCATTGACTTGATCGAAGACACACTAAAAACAGTAATATTGTTAAATGTTATTACAATTTAAAATAACTTTTTTTTATCTTTTAAAGGGGACATATCATGAATATCTGACCATTTCCGTGTTTTAGTGTTATATAATCGGTGCATCTACCAACCCAGAAAATGTGAAAAGTGACAACCCAGTAATTTGTTTGGGTAAACCTTTGCAAGCATGTCAAAAAATAAGCTGATCAGATTTCGCTCCTCTTCTGATGTAGGAAGGGGGATCTTATTTTAATATTAGGCTCCTTAATATGCACGTGTCACCCACAGCGCCGCCATTTGGTTTTCGCAAGAGACAACTTACCTAAAGCAATGGCAAAAGTTCGAGCAAAGCATGCAAACTGTTCTGTCGTTGGTTGGCTGCACGAGGTCACGCAATGTCATAGCTGTCTTATAAAGACTTCGGGGAACTGTGTCAACTTGCGAAAAGTTAAACATGATGGTACATGGAAGTCGATGAGATGAATCAGTGTAACTTCACAACAACTACATGTATCCACTAACCATTCAGAAACGTCCAGGTGCAGTCTAAAAAGTTGCAACCTCTTCCTGAGTCTCTCCATAAGGCTGCACCGCTACTTATTTCTGAAATATGACTGAATTCGCTTGTTTTGTTATTGTTTGTATCTGACCGAAGCTCGTGTAAAGGATCGGCCGTCTTCTGGAGGCGGGCAGCAGCAGCTCATTTGCATTTAAAGGGACAGACAAAAACGGGACGTTTTTCCTCAAACCCTAAAAGGGGCAACTTTGACAAGTTATAATAAATGATCTGGGGGGTATTTTGAGCTGAAATATCACAAACACGTTCTGGGGACACCAAAGATTTATATTACATCTTGTGAAAATGGGCATAATATGTCACCTTTAATATAATATATCAAAGCTGAATTTTCAGCATCATTACACTCAGTGTCACATGATCAGGGCTTGACATTAACTTTTTTGCTCACTAGCCAATGTGGCTAGTGGTTTTCCAAAGTTACTAGCCACACAGCATTTTTACTAGCCACATTTTTGTTGTTGTGAAATTACCTGATTAAAGTTGACTATGGCGTGCTAAAATTTACTTGAACTAGATTTACAACCCTTTTAAATGTAAAACCACTGTACACACGCAAATCAAGACTAGGTATAACAATACAGGTCATTATCATTAGCTCTGATAAGGTTGTGTGTAAAGCTCCTTTAAAGCTCCTATAAAACCATGTATTAAGATGAAGACATAGCTTCTTATTGCATAATAAAAGTGGTGCATGGATGTAGAAGATTAATAAAAAATATAAAAAACTAAACAAAAAACCTTTAGCATTAGAAACACTGTCTGTTTAAATATCAGAATCAGAATTACTTTATTGAGCCCCGATGGGAAATTCTTTGTTACAAGTTGCGTTTTCTGTGTCTTTGCACACCAGAAACGTGTCTGCTGGTAACGTACATGGAGGGCTATCTCGGGATTCGGGCGTTGCAGCATAGACGGCAAAATAGGCTATAAGAATATTTCGTTCTGTATTGACAGGTGCAATATTTGAATTTTTTTAAATTATATCTGCATTTGCCAAAACCTATGGACTTTCAAACATAAAAATGCCATTTATTAATATGTGTTCGTGTCAACATGACATATTTTCCTATTCTATTTAGCCTGGAAACGCTTCCAACAGGCTTGCGTGTCGCGTGAGAAATAGGCGTCGGTTTTTTTTCTAGCATGCACGCGTTTTCGGCGCGGCTCGAGACGCGCGTCACGCAGGCAGTGTGCAAGTTCTAACCTGTTAACATGGGAGCCGAAATAAAAACGGACACACCACGCAGCGGAGACGCGCACGCCACGCAGCCAGTGCGCTTCAGATGCCTTTTGAAAAGACTACAATTATTCAACCCGCCAAAGTGGCTAGTTGAAGTGACTGTGTTACCCGCCACGAGCAAAATCCACCCGCATTTGGCGGGTTGGCGGGTGTTAATGTCAAGCCCTGCACATGATCCTTCAGAAATCATTCTATTATGCTGATTTGATGATCAAGAAACATTTATTCTTATTATAATTATCAATGTTGAAAACAGTGGTGCTGCTTAATATTTTTTTTGGATACTGTGATGCATTTTCTTTCAGGATTATACGATGAATAGAAAGTTCAAAATAACATTTATTTGAAACAGAAATCATCTGTAACATTATAAATGTATTTACAGTAACTTTTGATCAATTTAATGTGTCCTTGCTGAATGAAGGTATTAATTTCTTTAAAAAATAAAAATTATACTGTCCCCAAACTTTACATAAGTAAATCCAACATAAATCAAGATAAAGTGTACATAAATCCAAAAAACTAAAAAAATTAAATGAAATCATTAACATTTTAAGCTAAACATCCAATGTAGATATTTGTGAGTTATCCCAGAAAACAACATATAGTGAAAAATAAAAAAACCTAGTTACAAGTGAGTGTTTTATCATTTATC